CCACTACCCATAAAGTCGTGCAAAAGGGAGAAAATGCACTCGATTGACAAAACGGAAACCACACAGCCCATTCCTAACCCTTAATTCCTCTGAAGAACAATTCACACCACAAGGAAAAGAAAAGCTCTTAGATGTAGAAAGCAAAAGCTTATCAGGACAGACGCCCGGCATTTAGAAAACAATTTGGACACAGGAAAAAAATAATCTCATTTCCCCATGATGTGGCAGCGGAGAATAGATCAAAAAGCATCCGACAGAGTCCAGCAGGGGGCTAAAAAATGGGGAGGATTTTCACATTCAGAGGCATGGGAGAAAAGAGCAGGCGACTTGCTGTCAAGCAGAAGAAAGATGCGCACGCTTTCTCATATTAATCTTAGCAACGGCCCTAAGACATTTACCATCCGATTCAATAGCTCACCAGATTTGGAGCCATTTTTTTCCTTTGAATGTAGGGAAGGCGGGGGCTGTCATCCTGCTCCAAAGTTTTGCATGCCCAACCTGCATCACCCACTCTTAATTCTCTAAAGTACCTAATTCAATTCGTTTCCATCAACATGCATTGAGTCTTTCTTATGGGCAAGATGGAGCTACATGCTGAAATGCAAAATGAAAATGTGCAGGTCATCTTTTTTTTTTTTTTAAGTATTTAGAGTCTTGCCTCAATTTTTAAAAGAGAGGGTAAAAGGAATAGTGAAAAGGGTACTTTTCTATTCAGTTTATTTAGTTCCATAAAATGCAGCTGCCTTTCTTTACTGGGTTTCAAAATTCTAACAATCCTTGATTTTATGGCTTTTCTTGGCAACAAAAAGTCTCAATACACCCTGAACTACCTCCTGTTGGATTCTGATATTCAATTCCCATCAGAGTCTCCATTATGTAAATAAGGCAATGCTTAATTGCAACCACAACTATGATCTGGGATCTTCTTGGCTTACGTCCTTAGATCTGAGTTTATGGACATCAATTTCTCAAGGATTCTCCTTGAATTCTTTTCTAAGTTGTGTCTTGCTTACCAACAATGATTTGGCTGGATGTTTATTACTTTTAGATTCACATAGAAATATACGTGTGCATGCATGTACCACTCTGCCTCATTTCTCAAAGGATTTGAGACAGCTGGAGAAATACATAAATTTTCAAAAAGATAAAATAAGAATCCCAGAACTCAGGAACACAAGGGAGGGAAAATATCCAACTAAATACTGCAGAAATACTGCATGATGTGGGGGCTGCAGGTTTGGCATTACACCTCCTAAGTGGCCAAGGCAAAGAAAGAAACTCATGAGATTGACAGTCCCTGAATGCTCAGGACAAGCTGGTTGCTATGAGGATATGCAGCTTTTCTGGATACTGAGTGCTGAGAGAAATCTGTCCACTGTAAGGTGTATCAGATGACATAAAAAATACCTTACAAGCTTCCCATATTTTCTCACCCTTCATAAAGGCTGACAGCTTGATATCCAAAGGTAATTCAGTTAATGCCAAGCTAGTAAGGACCCCACCCTCTCTCAAGTACCATCAATCTCGTCTATCAAAATGAGGATTTCTTAGTAATAATCCGATCTGCTGAGGGCTTCTGTAGTGATATTAAAACAATTCATTTAAATTAGAAGCATTTAAATTTAAATAGTTCCTTATAATTTAAATGAGATCACGGAAGGCAAGGAAGGAAATTCATCCCTGTACATTGCATAGAGTAGGAGATGAAGAATTTTGGGGTCAGGTAAAACTGTTCTAAGTTTGCTAACTAAGGTCTTGCAGCCTTGGTTTCCTCAACTGTAAAATCAACATAATAAATGAATAACTAAGTGTTATGCAAAAAATAAAACAATGCAATATGGAAGAAAGCGGGTGGTTAGATGTAGGTGTAGATGTGCTTAGATGAGCTGTAAGGGAAGGCCGTGCTTAAGAGCGAAACCCGAATGACAAGGAGGGACAAGGAGGTTTCTTCTGAGCAGGAATATTCCAGGCACAAGGAACAGCAGTATAAAGGTCAAGGTGGAAACAGGAGGGATGCGTGTGAGTAACAGAGTGATGGCACTATTCTGCCAGTGCAGAGCAAGAGGCAGGGGCAAGGGGCAGATCACGGAGGATCTTATAAGTCAGATCTCAAACGGTCTGTGGTAAGGAATTTTTAAAAAAACTATTTTTAATCACAGACCAACCTGGAATCCAAATGCACGTGACCATCTACAGCTCATGCCACATGATCATCACTGTGCAAATTTGACAACGCACTAGCTGTCTTCTGCCCTCTTTAATAAGACTACTGATCATGTGCTCAGTGTGTGCCGCTAATCGCTATGGAAGTTTCTAAAGGCTGGCTCTCACTTTTGGTCCTCCTTGTATTTGATGCAGACCAGTAACACACTATTCATGTGATCTACAGACCACAATTAGAGCAATGCATGGAAAGAACCCTGGATCATATGGTAAGTACATTGGAAAGCATATGTGAGGAAGGGGGTAAGGTAAGAGTCAAAGATTCAAGGGCTGTGATGATTCGAATGTTTACTAAGATGGAGAAGACCAAGGGAGGACAAACAGAAGGAGGAAAAAGTCCTGCTTTGAACATTCTAAATGAGAGATGTCTAGACCTCCAAGGGGTCAAATAGGAAGTTGGATAGGCAAATCTGGGGTTCACATCTGAGGTCAGGCCAGAGATGCAATTTGGGGGAGTCATGACACCCTGCATTTAGAGCCTCAGATGAACTGAGTGATCTAGCATGTGTCATAATGAAAGAAAAGAGGTCCCAGGACCTAGACCTTGAAGGGGGTGGGGCATTCTGATGTGACATTGCTGCCTCTATCAGTCGGTATTCAAGAAATTTGATTCTCACTTTTCTGGAACTCCAAAGCTTCATACAATGTAAAATAAAATTCCGAAGTGTTACAGTACTGGCAGGAACTAGTCAGAACGAGATCCAGAATGTCCTTCCTACTCTGAGATGTTATGATTATGTGTCATTCAAGTTCTTTTTTTCCCCCAGTCTTGACATCATGAATTGAATGGTGGTCCCTCCATGTCCCAGAATCTGTGAATGTGGCCCTATTTGGAAAGAGTCTTCTTTGCAGATGTAATTGAGTTAAGATTCTTAAGATGAGATCATCCTGGATTATCCAAGTGGGCCCTAAATCCAGTGACAAGTGCCCTTATAAGATACAGACACAGAGGGAAGAGACACAGACAGGGGAGGGGATGCCCTGAGATCAGAGTGCTGCAGACTCCAGCCAGGGAAGCCGAGGCCCACGGGCAGCCACCAGAAACTGGAAGGGGCGAGGGTGCTAGAGGGAACGCAGAGTGCTGACACACACCAGCCCTTGCCAACACCTGGGTTGCAGACTTCTGGCTCCAGAATTGTGGGAAAACAAATTTCTGTGGTTTTAAGCCACCCAGTTTGTGAACATCTGTTACAGGAGCCCGAGGAGACTAACTACTCTCAGGCTTCGGGGCTATACCTCATTCTCACTCAGTGGCCTGAAACTTTGGCTGTAGAGTAGGATTGCCTAGAGGATGTATAAAACTGCTCAGATTATGATTCCATGGGACTGAGCTACAGGCAAGCATTGACATTGAGCCTGACGTGAGAACTGCTATTTAATTGGTCACAACAACTCAATATCAATGGTGAGGGACATGGATGTCCAGGTGGTGGATACCTGTATCTTTTTTTTTTTCCTACCTTCAGAATTTGCTCTGAAATCTAACCTCAGTTCTCTTTCTGTCCAGATATAAAGTGTTTTTATGAACACTGAGGCAGTGTCAGTCAGCGGTCTGTACAGACCCTAGGACACTAATACAGTCCTGTTTCTCCATGAAGGAATCCTCAGATGCTCTGATAGGTGGCCACCTCTGTCCCTCTGGTGCTTCGCTTGCGTCCTCCAGGAGCACCGGGGAGGTGCTTTCTAGACTGGTGCTTGATAATGCCTAGCTTTAATATAAATTAGCAGATTCACCTGGGAGCCTTCCCTCCCAATTCTTCCCTGGCCTTTTCTTTGTAACTAGATAATGGCCATCATGGATTTCTGAGGTGGGCTAGATCACGTAAATGTTTTAAAAAGTCTGCTTCACATTTGCACCGAACAGAGAAGAACAAATTATTATTTGGAAGGAAGAGAATTCATAATTTTGAAACAAAGCAACTCATTGTACACCAGTCCTAAATAAATATTTCTTTATTTTCCAAAGTGTGTGACCTCCCGTGGTGATCTCTCTTGCACATCATGAGCAGTCATGAGGGCGATGTAGTTAGCAATGCGTGCTTGTCTGCAAAGAGCCTTTGACTGAAGAGCTCACTGCATCTATTGACTCCCTGGGAAGTCTGAGGTCACAAGCTTGGCTGGAGCACATGGGTCCAATAAAGAGGATGGTTTTGCCCTCCTGAAACCAAGCCAGAAACTTTATCTCCTTCATTGTGCGCTTTGGGTCATGTGCTAACGATGAGGATTTCTCTAATACTAATCCCCCTAATGATGGCTTCTCCCAGCCCTTACACAAACCCCACCAGGCCCCGTGGCGTGGCGGGCCAGAAAGAATAAAGGCAGCACGGTGTTTGGCTTTTGAACTGAGTTCAAGGCAATTAAAGTCAAGGACTAAGGAGGAAAGAGGGAGGCTTAGAAATACCAGCATAATAAGTAGTATGACTAGGGCGCTCTGTAAATTAACTCAATTAGACAAAGCCTGATTTAACAGGGTAAGGATGGTGAGAAGTGCTACCCTCATTAAATTGGGCTGTTAGAGGTGCCTCTAATGAAATTAAATTTGTGTTAGTTGTTTGAATCATAAAATAACATGTGCGTGTGCACGTACACACGGGCACACACATAGCTTCTGATTTTTGTGGGTACTTTTTTTTTTTTTAGAGGAGAGGAATAGAATGCAAAAACGATAAATACCAAAAAAGAGAAAGACTTGACAAGTGGATGTTCAAGGATTCCAGAGTGGAAGGAGGAGAAAGGCAAGACAGGAGGAGTGTGCCAGGTCCTCCCAGTTCTCAGCCATGAGCCCCATGCAGTGGGGGCTTCTGCTGGGGTGCCTGGGCTGCAGAATCCTGCCTGGAGCCTGGGCCCAGTTCCCCCGGGTCTGCATGACCTTGGACAACCTGGTGAACAAGGAGTGCTGCCCACCACTGGGTGCCAATCCGGCCAACGTCTGTGGCTTACAGGAGGGCCGCGGGCAGTGTGCAGAGGTGCAAGCTGACACCAGGCCCTGGAGTGGCCCGTACGTCCTGCGAAACCAGGATGACCGTGAGCAGTGGCCAAGGAAGTTCTTCAACCGGACCTGCAAGTGCACAGGTGAGGCCCCTCTGGGCAGGTCTGGGCCATGCTCAGAGCTTGGTGGAGAGGGTCTCCGCTGAGACGAGACAGTTAACACAGACTGTCAGACCAGGCCTCGGGAGGCAAACGTGTATGTGTTTTGTAGCTCAGTAAGTCCTGGTTATATCATATCCTCCAGTGTATCCAGTTATGGAAACGAAATAAATATCACACGGGCCAAGCCTGGTTTTGAATGCACGCCAACATACCTTTGGCTTGTTTGTTGGAGGGGAAGTTAAAGAGCTGGAGAGTAGGCTTTGAAATTCAGAACAAGTCCTTTCAGGATGGATTCGGTGCCCTCTCCTGAAATGGGTTCCCACATGCTAAATGGGGTGTGTGTGTGTGCAGCTTGGCATGTGGACAGGGGCAAGAGTGGCAGGCAGGTATTCCGCAGGCCTGGCCTCAGCGTTCCTCAAGATCTGAACGGCTCAAACAGGCTCCGTCTTTCTCACTACAGCTATGCCTGGGCTGTGACCTTGCCAGCTCTGGGGAGACGAGGCAAGACGGCGTCCTCAGTGAGCAGGGGGGGAGGGTTGTTAGTAGGTGACAATGGCTTTTTTTTTTCCACTCTTGTCCAGATTTTGAACTGTGCCCATTACCAAATCTGCTCAGTGTCCCTCCTTTAGATGCTGGTCTCTGTCACAGCTGTTTCTTTGGAATCTCTGTATTGCTCTTTCCTCTGGCTCTTCTGGACCTTCTCAAGTCCTCCTCGTGGTGTGTCCCCTCAGTTTCTAGCAGCCATGCACCATTCAGAGGCTGGTGGGGCATTTCAAATACAAAATGCAGTGAAGTCCTTGGATGCTGTGCTTTGGTGGCCGCTGCATCAGACGTTTTCCTTCTGAGAACACCTTATCCTTGTCTTCTCACATGATGCTGGAACATAGGAGAATGATCAAGCTACATGAGGGTCTGAGGAGGATTCACTAAGGGAAGGTAGCCGTGATGTGGGTGTAGGCTGTCTTTGTCCAAATCCCTAAAATACTTTTATAGTATTACATGACAGAATTCCCATGACAAGATTCCCACTTTCAAAAGTTGGGAATCTCCATTTTATAGACTCCTGGGGCAGATTTTAGTAATCAGATATAATTGTTGACTCTTCTTATCAATATCTCCCTCATATTTTTGACCTGGCTAGCAAATTTATTTTTAAAAGGTGGAGGTGGAAAGAATAGAGCATGCAGGATGGAAGGAACAACTGCAGTTTCCCTTTGCTGGGGACTGTTTATAAATATTCCTCTAGAGGTGACAGGGACGTAGGGTCACAGTGACCTACTCTCAGAACAAAAGGGACCCCCTTCTCCAAAAGACAATGAGCCAGAATTAAGTCCAGCCTGTAAGTCCAGGCTGCAAGGACATCACATGTGCACAGGCCTGTCTGAAGGAGCAGAGCTTTCTCAGGGTACGTGGTCTCCATTCCCAGCCACTGTCAAGGCCATGGCCGCCCCAGGGCCCCATCCTTAGGCTCTGGCTCACCTCTTCTCCGTGATTTACTTTTTCTTGACTCACTCAGGACCGTCACGCTTTCCCATAGCAAGTTCATGTTTTGTTTTCTTAGATAACAAGGTTTGCTGTATCTATTAATTTATGGGCTGGGGTTGTAGCTCAGCGGTAGAGTGCTCACCTAGCACGTGCGAGGCCCTGGGTTCGATCCTCAGCACCACATAAAAAAAATAAAGGTGTTGTGTCCAACTACAACTAAAAAATAAATATTAAAAAATTAATTTATTAGACTTTTCCTTTATTACCAGCATTAGTGAGGCAGAATTGGCATACAAAACATTGCACATCCATACAAGTTGGTGCATTTGGACATATGGATAGCTATGTTACAGTCACCACAATCAAGGTAACAAACATATTTATCACTTTCAAAAGTTTTCTTCTGCCTCTTAGCTTTTTGCTTTTGTAAGACAGCTTAACACAATTGCTTCCCTGATAGCACATTTGAAAGTGCACGGTACCTTGTTAACTACAGGCACAGTGCTGTACAGAAGAGCTTTGGTACTTCCTCACTTTGTATTGTTGCAACTTGATATTCATTGTGTATCAGCTTCCTGCCATTCATTGTCTACTTCTGTACCTTTGACTACTTTTGATGCCTCATCAGAAGGAATCATGCAGTATTTGTCTTTCTGTGACTGGTTCATTTCACTTAGTACAATGCTTTCCAGGTCCATCCCCGTCGTGGCAAATGGTAGCATCTCTTCTTTTTCAAGGCTGAATAATATTCCATTCTGCTTGCATCCCAACCTTGAATGGCTTTGGTTATGTTGGCTAGATGGACTTTTTCTTTGAGTCTTAGGGCACCAGACTAAGTCCTTAGAGCCTGAGCTGAAAAGTGTTCAGTAATTATCATTCTGTGATGGGTTAATTGTCCCAAAGCAGGACATATGTCCTCCAGTTGTTTGGAGTGAGGTACTCACCTTCAGGGATAATTTTTTTTCATGGTTTGAGGGGAGTCTTTAGAGTTTAAACCCGATCTCGTGCTTCCCAAAGACTTTCCTTTCTGGTAGCCTCATAGTGGAGCCCCTGAAATTCTCTTAGCATCCTCCAAAAGTTATTAAGGAAGAAATGCTGATTAGCTTTGGCAGTCAACTAATAAGTTAGCTTTTGTTGATGTTTTTGAATTTTTAAAGTTTACTTGGAAAATAAATATCCCATAGTTTCCACAAGCATAAAGCTAGCCAAAGTAATATTGCATAATAAGTAAAAACAAATCCAAATTCTGAGATTAAAAAAAAATCCCCTAAATTCTAATGGTCAAATTCCCCTTAGAGAACTTCATTATTCTCTGCAGGAATAAATTGTAACACAGTGTAATTACTGAACTTAATTGTCAGGAAGAGCTGAATCTCAGTAAATTTTGGCATTAGCCATTCACCTTATAAGGTTTGCTTGCCAGTTGGCATTTAAGAGGACATGTCAGTTGCAGCTGTGTCTCTGGGCTTTTGAAAAGCTTGGGTACCAAATAGTTTTGGAGCAGTTGGCTGAGCACTTCTTGTTTGTACAAGTGACTAAGTGCCTCCATTTTCCAATCTCTGAAATGGGGATAATGATGAAACCGCAGTTGTAAAATCCTTTTGAGCTCTATAGATGAAAGGACCTAGGTAAGTATAAAGTATTGTTATTAAAATAATAGAATCTCTAATTAAAAGGAATAGGCTATTTAGGGTTCCTTGTAAACTCACTAATCGGGGGTCGTTAAGCCTATTTAGCCTAATAGCTTTCTGAGGTTGAGCTGATGCCGTGCGTGTAGGAACGTGTGGGGTTCAGACAATCTAGTCCTAAGTAGGCAGACAACTTTGACTCTTTAAATTTAATTTTTGCTCAAGGACATACTCAATGGTAGATTGGTATCATCTATCCCCACCCCCTCTATTTCCCAGCAAGAACATGATCATTCTAAAATGTCCCTCTTTTTTTTTTTTTTTAACTACTGGTGGCTTAAGGGAAGAAAATTAATCATGTTAAATTGACCTAAGAGCCTACCAGGAACCAGAATGAAAGAAGCGAATATTTCTGGTGCTGGGTTTTCACGTCCTTACATTTTCCTATCGACTTCATCATCTCCACAAGTTCTTTAGGCAGGATTTGTAAGCTCAACAACGAAAGAGACCCGGCTGCAGAGATCTGGTGGTTTTTCTCTGAGACCTGTTGAAACGGAATTGTTCTCTTTTAATTGAGTAAATCTCTGGGTCACAGATGAGCTCAGATGCAGAGAAACGCCTTCTCGTTAGTATTTAGCTGGTAGCTGATCACCACGGTAGGGAGGCAGCTGTGATCTCCTGAGTCAGGCTAATCGTGTGGTCTTCGTCATCCCACGGAGTGTGGTTTCTTCCCATTTCACTTTTCCCACAGACATGAGGGATGCTTCAATGGGCATAAGCCCTTCGTCTCCATCAGGCACCAGCACTGTGCCTTATTTGTGTTTTTGTACCCCCTGGTGGCACAGCCTTATATTTAGCTTTTCACTGATTCTTCCAGTGCCAGCCCAGCCAGTTCACAGAGAGGGGGATGAACCCAATGTCATTCTTAAGATGTGCTTGGTGTAGTGATAAGTGAGACAGATGCAAAAAACAAAAACTTGCTATTCTTTTTGATTAGTGGCATCTAAAAATACTAGGGATGCTACCAGACATCTGGTATAAGACAGACTCTGTACCAGGCACCAAGCTGTGCGCTCTGTGTATTAATGTACTTGTTTTTCAGAAGAGCTGGGTGAGATAGAACTCTTGTACCTGACCACAGGCTCTGAGAGGTTAAGTTCAAAGTTGCCAACTCATCTGAATCAAAGTACAAAAAGTTATAGGAGCACAGAGGAAGGCGTGCTGAGATTTTTTTTCTTTCAGACTTTACTTTTAGAACAATTTTAGTTTCACTGTAAAGTTAGCCATTAGCTAACTTTAGGAATTGCCCATACCCCCTGTGCCCAATCCTCCCCTATGCACAGCCTCGCCCACGATCAAGGCATGTCTAGTTTGACTGCTCCACAAGTAGTGATGGTCAGGGAATTATTTCCTTCATAAATTATCAGTTATTGATAATTTCATTTCTATCAACCAAGAGCAATCACAATAAAGAAAGTGTATAGTTGCAAAATTCACCAAATAAAGTTGCAAATTACTCAACTTCAACAACACGACCCCCAAGATTCAAAAACAATTTTTGCACCTTTATCTATTGGTATGTATTGAATTTACTATTATAAACCTTCAGTGTGTTATTTCTTAGCATTTAAAAAATATTTTTAGAGTGGTTTTAGATTAAAAAAAATTGAACAGAGAGGACATATACCCTGCACCCCTCCGAGGTCCCCCGCATCCTTCACTGTCCACATCCTTCCTGCACTGGTATGACTGTGTGGTCAGTGACACATCAATATCACCAGGTTTCTTAGCATTTTGCAGCAAGGAACGACTCTCCCATTGTAGAGCAGTGACTGTACATTTACCTCCCATCATCTAACCCAACTCCAGGAAGACAGCTGGAAGTTTGACCAAATTCTCCTCTGGATAGTTAATATTCTTCAGGCACAGAATTTTGCTCAATCACATGTTGAAAAATTTCCTTTTACTGTAAAATCTGCCAGTCTAGGTTTAATCAAATTTGTTTTTAAAAATAGAGATTGTAGAATTTTAGTAAGGTTGCCTGAGGGAAAATGAATAGATTTCAAGTTCCATGAAGCTGGAAGTATCCTGTAAATCGAATAGTATTATGGTATCTGCTCAATAAATACTTACTAATAAATACCATGTATTTAATAGCCTTATTCCAGTCATCCACATACATTTCATTATTTAACTCACACTATTAAAAAACATGATTTTCAACCTGGAAAAATAATTTTTAAGTATTTTTGCCTATTTTTACTTATGTTCTTGCAGGGTACTGAAACGGGAAAATACAAAAATATAAGAGTAGCTAAAATATTTTTGTATGTAACAAGGGAGCATAGGACCCAAATAACTAACTATTTTTGTATTTAGTTCTCCCTACCTATTGTATTTTTAATGAAATTTTCTTTTCTATCAAAAAAAAAAATCTAATGAAAAGGGAAGCCTCTGCATTTTCTTTGCAGGGTACAAGCGCGAATGATTTTGTGTTCATGCTGTTTCCTTTAAAGGATCATACAGGAGGACTTGCCCAGCTAAGCCTGTGTGAGGCCCTGGGTTCAAGGCCACCATTAAAACAAAACTAAACAAGCAAACCAAAAGAGAGAGAGAGAGAGAGAGAGAGAGAGAGAGAGAGAGAGAGAAATGACAGTGTGGAGAACCCCTTGTGAAGCTGCAGGGACCGGCTGGTAGCTGGGGCAGGGAGGAATTTAGCAGGACAGGCAAAAGTGTTGCAGGCACAGGGAGGGGCACAGAAGCGCATCTGGAGGCCTGTGGCAGAGGGAGAGGGTCAGCGCAAGTGGGTGGTCTTCAGCCAGAGGAGCATCTGGGCCTTTCCACCCACAGGAGTTAAATCTGCTCTCTGGCTCCTCACCTCCTGAGGATGTCCACAAGCAGAAGGGCGAGAGGGAAATCAGAGGCAGGCTTAAAGAATGTAGCCCGAGGCGCCTCTCAGAGACCTGCCTGGGGCTTGGTACCACTGGTGACAAAGCGGGGACAGAGCTGCTGGCCGGAAACCTGCCCGTCAGGGCCGCCAACTCACCTTTGCCACCTGCCGGCCACCCTCGATTTCGTCTCAAGGCCGGCTCCTTGGTGAAGTAAACAGCATTTAAATGTCAGATTTCACCCCAATTCCTGGCGGGCAGCTTGTCTCTTTCTATCTTATGGGTCCACTTTTGCTCGGGTGCATTCTCTTCACTCTCAATGTCGCTGCACAGCTCTGAGCCAGCCCTGTGGTGTACGCCACGTGGTCAGCCGGCTCCTTGAGGACATCCCCAGGCGGCATGGGGGGACATCAGAAGGGACATGTCCAATTTATGCACCATGGGTGTGTGCATTTGTAAGGAACAGGTTAGAACACGTTGTACGGTATGCAAGAGGCCGTGCAGCACGCATCGGTTTGCTGGGGCTATGGGAACCAAGTACCATGGTGGGGACAGGGTGACCCGGGTGGCCGGAGTGGCGGGGGAGCTTAAACGGTGGCAACTTGCTTTCTCCTAGTTCTGGAGGCTGGAAGCCAAGGTCGAAATGCCAGCAGGGTTGGTTTTTCGGAAGGTCTCTTGTTGGCTCATGGATGGCGGTCCTCTCCTGGGTCTTCACAGCTCTTTCAACCATGCATGAGTCTTTATTTCCTCTTATAAGGACACCGATCATGGCGAATTAGGTCCCACTCCAATGACCCAATTTTGTTTTAATTACCTTTTAATGTTATTTTTAAAATTCTTATTTTGTGTGGAACTTGGGATTGAGCCCAGGGCCTTGAACTTGCTAGGCAAGCGCTTCACTGAGCTTCAGCTCCGGCCCTTGATTTCCTCTGTAAGAACCTGAGCTCTAAGTACTGTTACAGGCTGAGGTACTGGGGATCAGTACTTGTGCATTTTGAGGGGACACAGTTCAGCTTATAACAGTGCTCATGCATTTCATACCCCGTTTCTTTGCTGGGAATATTTCTAGCTAACTTTCTGATGCTCAGTTCACTTGGATTTTGAGAGGAGACTAAGGGAAGTCAATTGACTATTATTTGTTTTGGACTTTATTTCTTCACATTTGTTAAAGCTGGAAGTCCAAGATCAAGGTGTCAACAGCAAGGTTGGTTTCTTCTAAGGCCTCTCTCACTGGCTTGCTTCACTGCCAGGCTTCACCTGGTCTTCAGTGTGTGTGTGTGTGTGTGTGTGTGTGTCTGTGTGCACGCTACACATACAAGTTGACTTGTCTTTACCCTTTTCTAAGCACCTTCATGTTCCCTTCAATTCTACTCCAAGATTCCAATTCAGAAATTTCTTCCAAACTATATAACCTACTTTTTCTTTCATCTTTCCCTTTTTATACTAGGAAACTTTGCTGGCTACAACTGTGGAGACTGCAAATTTGGCTGGTCGGGCCCCAACTGCAATCAGAGGAAGCCACCAGTTGTTCGACGGAACATTCACTCCTTGACCCCTCAGGAAAGGGAGCAGTTCTTGGGTGCCTTAGACCTTGCCAAGAAGAGGACCCACCCTGACTACGTGATCACTACCCAGCACTGGCTGGGCCTGCTTGGGCCCAGTAGGACTGAGCCACAGATCGCCAACTGCAGCATTTATGATTTTTTTGTGTGGCTGCATTATTATTCTGTTAGAGATACACTATTAGGTGGGTTTTCCCCTTGGCTTAAGGTTTATTACAGGTTTGTGTTTGCTGGGGAGAAGGGGTAGGGAGTCTTTTGACACTAGTTAATTAACAAGAGAGCAACCTCAAGGCAGGGCTAGGTTTATCAGAGTCACAGAATCACCAAATGCTACCTGAAGGCAGAAGGCAGCAGTTTCTTCTTGTATGTTGGCTACAGACATTTCAAAGGGTTCTCTCCTCTAGTTTGTTTGGTTCAAAGTCTAAGCTGTTCTCCATGAAGCCCTTAATCTTCAAAGGCATGAGTCGGTGAAGTGAGAGCAAGTTCCTTTCCATTCCAGAAAAAAAAAAAATTACAAATCTGGCTATGGAAGCCCTCTCTGACCTCTTCTTCCAATTAGAGGAATTAACTGAACAAGTGCCAAAGCACATGACGCTCCTTTGTGCAGAACTGGAGTTCTCCTGTGGGAGGTGGGCAGTGCTTTAACCTCCCGGGTCTTTAGACTGTAGTTATATCATCACTCATGGTTCCCAGGCTGTGTTAGAAATGCCCAGGCTTTTTGGAGTTGTATTGTCAAGGAAAAATACAAGCTGGGTCACAACAATGTTAGAGTTCCTCCTGTATGGCCTTGCAGGCCACGGTTACGTTGGATGCTTGAGAAAACGTGAAATGCAAATGATACTTGAGAAATATCAAGGACCCTTCCTGGTCCTGGACAGGAGTTGGACTGGAAGACTGTCTTCTGTGAACCTCATTAACCAAATAGGTGTAGCTTCATCCTGAGTTATGTATCAGTTGAGAGAAGCCATCAGTTTGTTCCAGGAGAATGGATGCATTCTAGATTCTTCTCATGGCAGCTGTACACGCTTAGCTATATCTGTAACTGGTCCTACTTTGGAGTTCCCTCACTGGGATGAGGGTGAATAGAGACATTGAACTCACTTGAAATGGTGCACTTCTCACTTGGTATTGCCCACCTGTGGGCATTCTTTATTCCTTGTCTCTTATGCCTCCTCATTATTACTTTTGGAGGACTTGAAACTTTGTGCTAGATTAAAACACTTAAAAAAATAAAAAAGACTTTGTAATTTTGTAGCCAATGGCAGCAATAGCAGTTTGCTTTTGGTATAAGTCTTTTTAAAACCTGCCTTTCAGGTAAGCATCTGTCTTTCTTTATCGATAGGGAAGGTGGCTCTTCCAGCTATCAACCTTTATAGTTTTCCTGTCATCACTCTGAGGAATTTTTGCTTTATGAGAGGGTAGTCTCTCAAGAGGAAAAGAAAACTTTAGTTTCTGGTCATATCTAGGAATTAAATTTATATTCATGTCTGTTCAGCTCTCTGAAGTTATTATAGGTACTTTGAAAAAGAACTAAAGTTAGCTAAAGTTTCTACATAACCATCAAAAGCTGTTATGAAAGAGGGAAGAAGGATGGAACAGGCAGCCAGGAAGGCATTAAATTGCCCAAAGCGTTTCACTGAATTGGCAGTTCCAGTGGCCAGCCAAATTGGTTTGGATGTAGTTTTCTCTCTCTGGTCTCGGCAACCATGCTTGTCAGCTAGCTGTTGTAGCTGATTGATGGACAAGGATGAATCCACGAAAGTTCTCTTTGGTTATACAAAAGCTGCATTAGGACTAAGTGTGGTTGAAGTTGCTATATTATTAATTAATCCTTCCCTTATCAATTTATGCATTTGCAAGGAATGGGTTAGAAGATGTCTTTTTAAAAAGTATATATTTCATTTTGCCTGAATGGTCTACACTTTGGATACTCTCTTTCTTCTTAATGAATTGCTGTTGTGTAATGGGGCTCTTGATGCTGAGCATGACTTGAATTTCCTGGCTTTCTGCTTAAAATTAGGCTTTTAGGAAATGAAAGGGATTTTAACTTAAAAGTGCTAGTGGCTTCTGAAATTCCTTTGTCATTTTTGCTACTGTTGCCTTTGAAGAAATAAAAACCATATATAGAAAAAATATATTTTAGAAAAAATATATTTTATCTTTTATAAACATATTTTATAAGCATATAAACATAAATATATTTTATATTTTATAAACATATAATTATATATATATATATATATATATATATATATATATATATATATGTGTGTGTGTATATATTTTCTAAAGTATTGTGGCTGTATAGACACATCCAAGATAAGGGTTAACATTTTAAATATCCTATTCTGTGATCTCTAATATGTTTCCCAATTATTTTAGGACCAGGGCGCCCCTACAAGGCCATAGATTTCTCACACCAAGGGCCTGCCTTTGTTACCTGGCACCGGTACCACTTGTTGTGGCTGGAAAGAGATCTGCAGGTTGGTTAAAACTTATATGTTTGATACTTCTAATTAGAAAAAAAAAATATATATGTGTGTATGTATTTAATGAGTACTGTACAACATGATGCTTTTTTAAAAAATATGTTTTAGTTGTCAGTGGCTCTTTTATTTTATATGTGGTGCTGGGGATCAAACCCAGGGCATTACTTACATGCCAGGCAAGCTGTCTACCACTGAGACACAACCCTAGCCCTGCAACATGATGTTTTGACATGCTTGTCTTGGTATCCATGGTTAAGTGATAACTACAGACAATAAAATTAACATATTCAGGATCTTATATAGCTAACTTTCTTTTTAGTGAGTGTTACGAGAATCTAAGGTCTGTATAGGCAAGTTGCAAGTACATAGTACAATATTATGAGGCACAGTCCTCAGGTTGTACCTTAGACCTCTAGACTGATTCATCCTGCACAATTGCAACTTTGTACCTTTAGACCTGCATCTTCCCTTCTGCCTCCCACTGCCCCATCCCTGGTAACCACCAGTTTCTATGTATTTGATTTTTTTTTTTTTTTTTTTTAGTAAGTGAGATCATGCAGAATTTTTCTTTCTCTATCTGGCTTACTTCACTTAGCATAATGTTCTCTATGTTCATTTTTATGGTTGCAAATGGTGGGGTTTTCTTTTTTATAAAGGCTGAGCAACATTGCATTAATGTATTTCTTTATTCAGCCACCTGTCATACCTTTAATCTCACAATGCATTTGGTCAAGACACCTGCCGGTCTTTACCTTGTATGCCTTCCCATTGCATCTGAAGAAATTTAATGACTGGACCTGACCTTTGCTTTTAGCGACTCACTGGAAATGCGTCGTTTGCTTTGCCGTACTGGAACTTTGCCACTGGCAAGAACGAGTGTGATGTGTGCACAGACCAGCTGCTGGGGGCAGCAAGACAAGATGATCCCACTCTGATCAGTGAGAACTCAAGATTTTCCAGCTGGAAAATTGTCTGTGACAGGTAATGACATATGCATTGCAGTAGAGAGCCCAAGACTGTCTTATGTGGCTGAGAGATGGATGTTGTTTCATTAGAATGATTTCTTCCTCCCTCCCTCTCTTTCTTTCTTCCTTTTTTGGTACCAGAGATTGAATCCTGGGGTGCTTAACCACTGAGCAATATCCCCAGCCCTTTTTTTATATTTTATTTAGAGACAAGGTCTCACTGAGTTCTTTGGGACTTGCTAAGTTTCTGAGGCTGGCCTTGAACTTGTAATCCTCCTACGTCAGCCTCCTGAGTTGCTGGGATTATAGGTATGCAAACTACACCTGGTTAGATTTCTGTTTTTAATGTACTCTGCATAGGATTCTGTTAATGTTTCTGAAAATAACTTTCCCTTGGGAGGTGGAATTTTTAAAATTCTAAGCTCTTTAGTAAAAAAAAAAAAGTACACGTATCAAAATTACACTGTGAATTGAATATGCTTGGCCATCACTTTGAGATCAACTGTTTTAAAATTAGGAGTAGTTCCTGCATTCAGTCAACCTTTGCTAAGTACCAATCATGTTCTAGGGATGCGATACTGCTAGGAATGCAAGATGACTAAAGTACTGCCTCCCTTTTTATATACTTTTGTATTTAGCAAGATAGATTTCTTGTAATGAATTGCCATTTAGTCTGAGAAGTACTATAACCAGTGCACATGCAAAGCCAGGAAGAGAGTCAGGACAAGTCCCCAGCGAGTGGAGATGATTGTTCTGAGACTCAAGAAGGCACAGACGTCAGTCAGGTATCAGGGAGGGTGAGGAGAGTGTGGGAGGGTGGCAGGTGTGTCCTTGGTGGAAGGAACATCATGTGTGAAACTAGGAAAGTCTCTGGAAGCAGCCTGCTGTGTCTGGACCATAAGATGCAGTTGAGGGGGATGGGAGCATGTCCTATGAACCCCTAAAGACCACATTATAAGGTAAGTGACCTGCAGCCTAGGAATCATTCTTTCCTCAAAGACTCCCTGAACCCATTTCTGTCTCTGGGCACAGTACAGTTATCTGACTTCAGCGGGGGATGTGTACCGAGACCCCAGTGGATGCCTGAAACCTTGGCTAGTACTAAATCTTATATGCATCATGTTTTTTCCTAGACAGACATTCTTTTGGTAAAGTTTATAAACTAGACATAGTAAGAGATTAACCATAAGTAATAATAAAATACAAGTATAAAAACACTATAATAAAAGTTATGTGAATGTGTTCTTTCTCTCAGAATATCTTAATTCCTTAGTGTATCACAGTTATATTTTCAGATTGGAGTTGACCTCAGGTAACTGAATCCATGGAAAACAAAATTGCAGATAAGGGCGGACAATTGTATCTCAGAAAACAATTTTCCAAGAGGATCCTCTGCCTGCCTTTATTCATTTCTTTTCTTCCTTTTATTTTTAGTTGTAGTTGAACACGATATTTTTATTTTATTTATTTATTTTTATGTGGGGCTGAGGATGGAACTCAGGGCCTCAAGCAAGCAAGGCAAGCGCTCTACCACTGAGCCACAACCCCAGTCCCCCCGCATGCTTTTAACCCCACTACTCTGCCTCTCCATCTTTAGATTGCACCTGGGCACTGAGCTCAGCACACCTCCTGGCCCATGGCTAGCACTGAGCCTGGACAGGCATGTGTTCTTAGGAGCCCATGCCCCATGCCCCTCGACAGGGACCTCATCTTCCACATCCCCCACATGTCCTGCAGCAGGACAGGGCTCCAGGCTCCATGATAAGTGGAATAACCCATCTGTTTTTATCTGAATTTCTTAATTCTATAAAGTGCCATTTCCCATAGTGTCTTGGATATTAATAGGTGATGTGTCGAGAGGTGTTTGTGATCATGTGTTTAGAGAAAGCTGAATTTAAGAGTTTTTTTTTTTTTAATTTTAGAACATCTCTGAGCCTTAGCTATCCTTAGATAAATGTACTATTATTCTTCAAGAGGAACCTCAGTTGACCAGATCCCAAGACTCTTATTTCACAGCCCATCTCCCTGTAACACACTTTGGGAAATGCTGACTTGGAGGCCTTTCTTGCTTAGTGTTTGGGTTCTGGCTGCTTCTGTCCGTGTGTGTGCTCATTCCATTCTCCACAGCAGACATGATCCCTTAGCTTTTAAAATTCACATTCGACGTCCTGGATTTGATCCTCAGCACCACATAAAAATAAATAAATAAAACAAAGGTATTATGTCTATCTACAACCAAAACAAACAAACAAGCAAACAACAAAAATCCTTTAAAAACCCTCACACAGTAACCTCTTTAAAGCTCTGTCAGTGAACCAGTGGTCTGAAGGTGGAATTCCAGGTCACCATGGCTGGGCAGAATGTGTTTTATGGGACCTTGTCAGCCCCTTGCTTGTCATGTAGCCATCGCACGTTTCTGGAGATGGTGTTCCTTCTTTTAAAAATGTTAATTATTATTTTAATTGTATAAATTATGGGGTACAGTGTGATAATTTGATATATGTATGCAGTGTGTAATAATCCAATTGAGGTAATTAACATTTCCATCTCCTTTAACATTAAAATAATTTTTTGACAGGGTACCGGGCGTTGAACTCAGGGGCACTCAGCCACTGAGCCACATCCCCAGCCTTATTTTGAATTTTATTTAGAGATGGGGTCTCACTGAGTTGCTTAGCCCCTTGATGTTGCTGAGGCTGGCTTTGAACATAGATCCTCCTGTCTCAGCTTCCCAGGCTTCTGGGATTACAGGTGTGTGCCACCGCACCTGGCTTAAAATAATTTTTTGATTAACCTTTCCTCTGTAGAGTTGCATCTGCTTTTATGCTGTTCATCTCTTGTTTGCCTGCAATTTGCCTGAAATGCTTTCCTAGATCTACATAGTCACTTCCACCAAAACTGGCTTGGCTCACTGTAATGTGGCTCCTCCTGATCTCAACTGTGCTGTCCCAGATCCAGATGCCCATCATAGGAGTTGCCATTTTGCTTAAAGGGCCTCTTACTCTCTTTTCAATGGAACAGTAATTATTATCACATTATCCTTGTATTCATATTTTGTGCCTCTTACATTCTTAAACTTCTTGATCCGTAGTTATTTTCAGGGGTAGTATTTTTAGCAGCTAACAAAATTTTTACCATAACTATGAATATGATTGTTTGACCCAAATTTATATTCATGAGTTAAAATATATTATTTTTTAATCTTCTAAATCTTAGTCTGGATGACTACAACCGCCGGGTCACCCTGTGCAATGGCACTTATGAAGGTTTGCTGAGAAGAAACCGAGTGGGAAGAAACAGTGAGAAACTGCCCACCTTAAAAAATGTACAAGATTGTCTGTCTCTCCCCAAGTTTGACAGTCCTCCTTTCTTCCAGAACTCCACCTTCAGCTTCAGGTTGGTGCTCAAGCTGTTTTACAACACCTTTAGATTTTCAGTTTGGAGCTGAGGTAGCCTGGAAGGAAATCCAGGGACTGGGATACTTCTCCGAGTTGAGTAACGAGAGGGGCTTAATAAGAGGAAGTAAGGCATCCGCATCAGGGAAGTCTTCATCCACACACTGGAGCCAATTGTAGAGTTTCTTCCCTTTGAACTCAGCTGTCCAAAAGCACCTTTTTTATTTCTAATTTTTCTCTTTATCTAGGTCTCTGGGACCATGGCATCTTGTTAATTATAGTGCTTTAAAAATGCCTGTGCTGCTTGTTTTTCTTTTCTTCGGTTTTAATGGTCACATTAGAAATTTATCAGCCACAGACCTTAATATTGGAGTCTAAATTATCAATTCAACTCAAATTATGGCACAGCAATGGCATTCCAGTGCTCAAAATGTGAAGACCAGCTATTGCTTTTCTTCCACCCCCAAAAGACTTAGGAAGAATTATGAGAAGTAGTACAGAAATAAGATTTTAATGAAGAGGAAGAGGACTTCCAAAAGGGATGGTGGATATATTTATCGTCTTCTCCAAAACTAGAGTCTCTCTCTCTTAACTTCATGGAAATTGTACAACTTGTCTGGGGCCAAAGGCATAGTAGGCTGAACTGAAGTGCAGAAGCTGTGTAGGTGTAGCAGGGCCCAGTTTCTGTGCGGGAGTTGGATACAGCAGAGTAGTGTCAAAGATAGGTAAAGGGCAACATTTAATATTGTTTTTAAAAGGAACATGCATGTTTTTTATTATGACAAAAATACTATTAAATTAGCTTGCATTTCCTATGGATTAGAGTTAGGAGAGTGCTCCCCCCAAAATGTGGTAGCACTTGGGAATTGGTTAGAAAAATGCAAATTATTGGGACCCAGCCCACACCTCCTGAATCAGATACTCTAGGAGTAGGGGGTGATTTTCTCTCCAGTGATTCTCAGGTGTGCTTAGATTTAATAAGGATCACTGAGTTAGGATATGGACAATTAAAATTCCTGAGAAATTCTTTCCTAAGGCATAAAGAAAGATACTGGGAATACTGGGATATGTTTAGGATATTATGTGTTACAGTCAAGGTGAAGATCTGTTTAGTTGAGAAATATGCATAGGTAAGATTAGATATTAATTTATCAGTCACACACCATCATGGCAGGATATTTGACTTCGGTTATTAAAAAAAGAGGGGAAACTCAGACCCTGACCTTCAAGAGCATGAGAGGCAGGTATGAAGGTAAATAATTGTCATGGAGTATGAAGATAAATTTTAACTGGACAGAGGCAGAAGTAGTGTGGATTAAGAATTCCTTCCCTATGGAAGATTAACATCACGGGTCTGGGCTTACTCAAGTAGCCTTGACAGAGCCTCTCATATGCCCTGGATTAGAAGTGGCCTTCTAGGCTGGAAACCATGAGCAGAGGCCTTTCTCCATCTTTGCCTGCTATCTCTGATGTTCTGGTTTCTCTCAGGAATGCCCTGGAAGGATTTGATAAAGCAGATGGGACGATCGACTCTCAAGTGGCCAACCTTCACAATTTGGTCCACGCCTTCCTGAATGGGACAAATGCTCAGCCACATTCAGCTGCCAATGACCCTGTTTTTGTGGTATGTTCCAAGACTCTGAGAATAAGATGGAGAAGTTTCTAGAGAACATGTCAGGTTTACTTATTTTTCAATAACATTAAGGTTTGGTGGGGTTTCATTCTCTGTGGGAACAAGGTGACGTAGGCTTATATAATCCACACCCTTGGGTTGGCGAGCTGGTATTTGAAGCCCCTAATCAGAACCTCATGCTTCTGGGATGAGTAGCTTTTGGATGACCTTGGCCAGAAATTTACAGTCCAGAGTTGAGTTCATAAATTAATGGAGTTATAAATGGTTTCTTGTTGGTTAAATGAGTGGTTTTGAAGTGGGTTAACCACCTTCAATGAGTTAATTACCTGCAGGAAAGAAAGGGTCTGGTAACCTAAAGAGGGAAGGAAAATGGAGATGGGATGCTGGGCAAATCAATTTGACAAACACCTTCAACAGTGGCAAAAAGACAGAAGCTCACATTTGTGGTACTTTGTTTCTTGGCTTTATACCTCTGAGTTGGAAGACAACCAGTAGAGAGATTTGCGCTTAACCAGGAGGGGCTTCATGGTTCTTTAACACCCCACGTGTGATAAACTCCCTCAATACACTTGAGTCTAATTTCTGACTCCCTCTAAAACAAGAGGAAAAAAAATTGGTAAAACTTGACCATGGGATGTAAAGTTTAGAATTTTAAGCTTTTATTTGTCTGTAAGATATGTTCACCAATGGTTTCTCCAGAGACAAACAAAATTAGGGAGTGCCAGTCAGGGCCACGTTATTCAGCTGCTGAGTAATCAATGCCCTATAGCCAAAGCCTTCTGGGAGCACAGCTGTACGTTAGCCCCTTGCCCACAGGTTAGTTAGCCATGGCCAAGCATGGTTTGAAAGAAGGGCTAGTACAGTACGAGATACTTCAAGAGGCCACATTCATATGACCTTTCTTTCTTATTGTTATACTTTCTGTATTGTTAATTCTTGCTAATCTTCTACTGTGCCTCCTTTATAAGTTAAACTTTATCATAGGTACATATGTATAGGAAAAAACACTGTGTCTAGGGTTTGTTACTCTCTGTGGTTTCAGTCGTCCACTGGGGACTTGGAATGGATGGAGCCTCTGTTTTTCACTACTGTATTTGAGCACAGTGGGTTTATTACTCCTCATGTGGAGAGAATGGAAGATGGTGGAGAGTCTCAGGTAGCAGATGTTAGAAAGGACCGATGGGACTTGGGCATGTGATAGGTGATTTTGGGGAAAAGATAGAGTTTTGCTCTGGATCAGATGATGTCAGGAAGCAGGGGTAGTTCTATGATCGAAGACCTCAATAGTTCTTTTGCACAGGGAGGAAGGACTAGACTTAGGTTACCAATAAATCAGTGGTCAGGAAGGTAAGAGTTGGGTATTTTGTGGCTTGGGTCATGTTCACATTTTGTCTAGGTTCAGATGTGGCTATGGAGTTGACTGGTTTTTGTCCTGGTTCATCACAGAGTGCCATGTCTGATGTTCTATGGAATTATTTACATCTGACTAGAGGACTTCGAGGCTTGGGCGATGGTAGCAGGCCACCTCCTAGATGTTGGGGTCTGCTTTGATCCTCTCAGGTACAGATCAGTAAATTTGGCTTAGGAGGTTTACATAACATAACCTCTCATGTTTCAGCCACTGAACCCCAACAAAGGCTCTGCTTTACAGGCATTCATTTTACCATCATCTATTTTAACATTGTTTTCTGCTTTACATGTCTTAGATGGCTTGGGAGAAATTGCAAGAAGAAATTTCACCTCTTGTCCTTTTTGTTGTTTTGTTTGGGTAGTAGGGATTGAACACAGGCATGCTTTACCACTGAGCTGTATCCCACCCCTTTTTACTTTTTTATTTTTAATTTTTGAGACAGGGTTGTGCTAAGTTGCTGATGCTGGCCTCAAACTTGGGATCCCCCTGTTTTAGCCTCCTGTAATCCTTGGGATTACAGGCGTGTGCCACTTTGCCCGGCTTCTGAGTTTATATTGGACTATGGCCAAAAACACCATTCCTTTTTCCAGAATTTACTTCACCTCAATGTTAATCTTAGTAATGTGTCTTAGTCTTCTCAGTCTGCCCTAATAAAATACTATGGACTAGAGAAATTAAATGACTGACATTTATACCCATCATTCTGGAGAGTCTGGGGTCTAGGATCAGGGTGCTGACTAACCTGGTTTTTGTGAAGGATTCCTGGGGTTCTTCACTGTGACTTCATATGATGGAGAGAGAGGGAGTGAGCTTTGCAGTGTCTTTTCTGATAAAGGCACTAATCCTAACATATCAGGGCCTCACCCCTGTGACCTTAGTTAACCTTGGTTACTTCCATGTTTGGTGGTTCAGGCTTCAACATATGAATTTGGTCTACTGCACAACACATCCTCAAACTATCAGGTAATAGCACTTTATTTTTCTGGGTTCCTGGGAGGCTACGTGTCATAGTAAAAAGAACGCTGGGTTATGAGCCAATTTGATTTTTTTTAGTCCTTACTTGTGCAACCTTAGGAATGTCACTGAATGATGTGGAGCTGCTGTTTGACCTGATCTTGTGGTGATAAAAAGTGTTGTACTTATTAAAGCAACTCTTGTAGATTAGGATAATATGATGATGCTGTAGAAACTGTTAAGGACAATGCAAATGTTATCATAAAAATAATAATGTGTTTTATGGTGGTCAGTGGGAAGGAATGGGAACTATGAGTTGGGTTTGCATTTCCAAACCTTAATTAGGGTTCCTTATCTTGTTCTCCATAGTAGACAGTTGTACCCTGAGGCGGTTGACTGACAGCACAAAATGAGAGGTATTTAAAAAGTGATTTATTATTTTTGCTGAACCCAGGGTACAAAAAGAGGAGATCTTCAGGAGAGTTAAAGTGCAGTTTCCAATGACTAAGCTTGCCTGATGACATGAAGAATGGAGTCGGTCAGGTCTGAGCATCTTTCTGGGGCTCCCCAATGAGATCCAGGAAATCCTGCAATAGAAGCTGTTGGTAGAGCTGGTTCTTCCTTCTAACATATGTTTCTCTGCTCAGCTTTGTGTGGTAGCAGTAAATGAAGGGGTTGTCAGAAGTGCGGCCTCTTGGTCCCACCTGCAGCCAGGCCAGGGGCTTCTCTGCAAGGGCTCCACAGCCATTTTTCCCATCTTGCAGCCTGCCTTGTCCAATGGTTCTGACTTGATCTTTCAGATCACTTTCTGGGCTACCATCTCAGCCCTTAGTGCTCAGCATGAGCACTTCTGGTGTCTGCCTTCTCTGCTATTTATCTAACTATATGTCTCGAAATATGTTTTTTATTAAAACATACATTTTCAACTACATAATTTATACAAATGATCATACACATAAGGAAAATGTCACAATACTTCTCATCCAGAATTAAAAAATATTATGAATGGAACCATGGACTCCTGTGACAAATTGAGAATGACACCCTAAACCTTTCTCTACTCCTACAAGAAATAATGGTGGTGCCAGTAATTTGGTTTTCAGCATCCCACCTCTCTAGAACTGCTAGCTCCTTCTTTGGAAGAAGCCAACCAGGTGCACAGGGGAAGGCAACATTTTTCTGCAAGTGGCCAAACAGCAAATATCCTTGGCTTTTGGGACCAGATGGTCCCTATTGCCACTCCTTAGCTCTGCCACTGTAGTATGAAAGCAGGCATGGACGATGCATAAGCAAACAAGTGTGGTGTTCCAATAAAACTTTATTTAAAAAAATAGGGGGTGGGCCCATATGGTATTTTTCTGTGATTGGAGTATTTCATTTAACATAACGTCCCGGGCTTTACTTTGCTGCCCCTTACTCTGGGGAAATCAATGCCCTTTCTATGCAATCAGACTATCTCTAATATTACTCTTTTCCTATGTGAGGTGAAAACCCATATTAAAACTTTATGGGTAAGTAATCCCATGACTACATGTAGTTCAAAGATATTAGTTGTTTAATCATGTTGGTCTTCATTACGTTTAATATCTTTGATACTTAAAATTGTGCTTTCTTTGGAGACATGCTATCATATACACATAAATAAACCAAAGCCACAGACTTTCTTTGAAGACTCAGAAGGAATAATGACACTGGTTTTAGAAAGACACCCCTTACCTTAGGCTATTTACAAACAGTTTTATGTAGAAGCCAATTCAGCCTTAAATTGTATTTTGCGTATTAAGATTTAAGTTAAAGCGTGTCAGTTTACAGAGTTATAGCTTCTGGAATTTCAAATTCAGGAGGTAATTCTTGCAAAATATATTGCATATGACATTTATTAAAATGATTTTTCCTGAAATATCTTCAAGCAGGAGAAGTACAACATTGTGTATGATCATAATCATGAGAAAAAGAAGGCAGAACATTAGAATACAGGAAAAGCTCTGAACCAATCTCTGAAATTCTAATAATTTTTAAGATAATTGAAAGAAATGCACATGTCATCATGGAAAATAAGATTAAGCCACAGAAATGCTGAGTTGTGCTGCCTTCAATATTAAATTTAGATATAATCCAAAAAAGAAAAAAAATAAAGGAAACCAGTAGATCATACAGTTAAATATTTTAACTGCCAAGAGGGAAACTGTGTTAGAGGTTAGTAACATTCTTCCCAATTCCTTAAAAGTACATTTGGATGTGACCGTGAGGTGTTTGTCTTTCTGTGCTTGGCTTATTTCTCTTAACATACTATCCTTCAGGTTCATCTATGCTGTTGCAAATGTCAAAAATTGTCTTTTTGATAACCGTATAGTATTCCATTATGTGTATGTACCACATTTTTCTTACTTATTTATCAGTTGGATACTTACAGAGATTCCATTTTATTTTGGGTATTGTGAATAGTGCTGAATAAACATGTGAGTGCAGATTTCTCTCTGACATACTGAGCTTATTTCCTTTGGATATATACCCAGGTGGGTTGGATCATATGGTGGTTTTATATTAACTTTTTGAGGAACCTCTGTACTGTTGTCCATAATGGTGTTACTAATTTTACACCAACAGTGTGCAAGCATTCCCCTTT